TTGAGTACCCTTGGTTTACCTAAATCAGATCGAACGCCAAGAGTGTAAACCACAGTCAATGTATTCGTACACGCCAGAGCAGTGACAGGACCTTTCAAAATAGGCTCAGTTGCACCATTTTTCATTTCCATAATGTCTATCAACCACCAATGTGGATAATGTCCGGCATTAAAAACCATCACAAATGATGTGCTGTCTAAGTCCCTCCAACATATAAAAGCTTTCATCAGACGTCCGTCGATAGCAGATTAGCTGGCGAACGAAGACGTAGATCCAAGATGCGGTAGCGATAAACAGTTCACATTGTGCACAGTAAACTGATCCCCTGTACCGCGGTACAATCTGCATATCTGCCGAGCCAGAAGCTCTCTCCATTCCTTGCCGATGACACCTCAGAAAGGCGCGCCGAACGGCGGATTGATATCATCGGGGCATGCCTCGCGCGTGCTGACATCAGCTCAGCCAGGTGAGCCCGCTCCGAGCCGCGGCCGTGTCACCACGGCACGTCCAGCGCATGGCTCGGGGGTGTGGGGACGCCGCTACCGCGCTGCTCATAGAATGTGGGCCATCTGACATGTGCGCGTGCCAGCCCGCCTGCGCAAACAAACGACAGTAGGTCCCGCGGCGACCTGCCTAGTGCTGCCGGCCCGGTGTCGGGCCTCGTTTCCGGGAGGCAGGGGGGGGGAAGAGGTCGTGCGGAAGAGACGTGGGGCTCCAGCCTCCGCCGTCCTGTTGACTGCAGGGATGCATTGCGCGGTGCCGGCTGCTGGGGTGCTGTGCGCGGCTCTAACTGCTTGGGTGCTGTGCGCGGCGCCGAATGCGGTGGTGCTGTGCGCGGCGCCGACTGCAGGGCTGTTATGCACGGCGCCGACTGCTGGGGTGCCGTGCGCGGCGCCGACTGCAGGGCTGTTGTGCACGGCGCCGACTGCTGGGGTGCCGTGCGCGGCGCCGGCTGCACGGCTTCGGCCGGTAAATGTTTCAGTCGGCGCCGGACAGCTGGGCGCCGCGTGGCGCCCTGATCACGCCGAAAAAGCCGCCGCCGACGGACAGTCGGCTAAACACCGCAGTAACCGGCAGAGAGGGCTGCGTAAAAACAGACACGACAAAGGTCGACACTCGACACCGCCGCCGCCGGCCGACAGACACACAGCTGCTCATCCCGTCAGCGGCGAGCTCGGGCTCCCCGTGACATGTTCAGGGCGGCGCTCATGAGATCACCACTGCTTCCCGACGTTCCGGACCAGCGCGACAAAATTGCCAAGACGAAACGAGCGATGGAGACCACAATTTATGTGCCGAAGTCCGGAAGGAATCGGTTATCAGTGGAAAATCTCGTTTGCTCATGAATAGGGATCACAGTTACGACAAAGGGCTGAAGCCGATGACCTCAAGCAACCGTAAAAACTATCCTTTTCCACCACATGTGCCGACTTTTGGCACCATGTGCTGCCCGGGCCCGACTCCGCGCCCGGTCGGTGCCGTGTCCGGTGACCTCGGTCGGTGCCGTGTCCGGTGACCTCGGTCGGTGCCGTGTCCGGTGACCTTGGTCGGTGCCGTGTCCGGTGACCTCGGTCGGTGCCGTGTCCGGTGACCTCGGTCGGTGCCGTGTCCGGTGACCTTGGTCGGTGCCGTGTCCGGTGACCTTGGTCGGTGCCGTGTCCGGTGACCTCGGTCGGTGCCGTGTCCGGTGACCTCGGTCGGTGCCGTGTCCGGTGACCTGAGCCTGCCCCGCACAGCGCAGCGTCGTGGGCGTACCGTGAGGCGGCGTCTCGCCGACCACACGCTGAGTCGGTGGAATCGGGGTCGGCGAGGGGAGGAGCTCCACCGGCGGGGCTGACCACTCTGGGGAGGGCTCCACCGGCGGGGACTAACGACTCTGGGGAGGGCTCCACCGGCGGGAGCTGACGACTCTGGGGAGGACTCCACCGGCGGGGACTGACGACTCTGGGGAGAGCTCCACTGGCGGGGACTGGTGACTCTGGGGAGGACTCTACCGGTGGAGACTGATGGCTTTGGCACTCTTACCGGCAGGTCTGCGGCCACAGGTGGGCCAACCAGATTCTGAACAACAACCGCTACCCCAACGGCGTCTGCTACTGGACGGAAAGCGACGTGGCGGACTACGAAGCCAACAAGGTTCTGCCTTTGGTCCGCACCAGTAAGCAACACTGACGGGAACTGACTGGACATCCTGCCTCGCTGTGCTCCGATCATGGCAAAGCAAGATGCGCTGATGATTCAGTCTCAACAATCCGGTCCCTTGACTCATATCGTGTGTCACCATCCTTAAAAGCTTGTGTGTCGGATGGTACACCCCGTTTCCCAGATACCCCTTTATGAGTGTGACTAAGCATCCGGCCTGTTCTCTGGATACTTGTGAGCGATATCACCGCGTGCTGTGAGCAGTTACGATCCGACCGACCACTCCGCGTGTGCCGCCGACTTTGCCCCGCCTTTCGCATGCTCCTGTCGGCGTGTCCCGCAGCGCCGCCCTTTCCACGGCCGCCTGGCGTGTTTGCGCAGCACCGCTGAGATCATATGCCTACCTTCCTCACCGCGCTCGTGGCCGCTGGGCCGCAACACCCGCATCCCATGCCATGCTTCCGCCGGCCAGCATGTTTGCGCTCGCGCGCCGCCGCCGCCGCCGTGGCTTATCGTCTGCGCCAGCGACATCGGCAGCCATGCGCCAGTGTTGAGCCGGCCTGGAGCGACCCTGTGCTGACCTCACCGCGGAAACCCCGATGACGGTCGCGGCGCGAACGCGCTGCGTCAGCCGGTGCGGCGGCGGCGGCGGCTTGTCCCTGCGCCTGTACTGCGTGCGGACGCGGGCGGTGACGTGACCGTCGTGTTTGCTGGGTGGCTCCACGGACGTGTCAGGTTACAGCTGTCTGTCCCGCTTGGCAGATCGGCAGATACTACCGGAGAAGGGCAAGGAGAGCTTCCTGTACGCGTACGGCCAAGCCGGGATATCCGTCCATTTCACAAAGGTATTCTTGACGCGCTCTGATGTGACGCTGGTGGCTTCTCTCTGTTCTCCGTCATAAGTCAACTGACGCTACCACTAAAGAGTTTTGTATGAGCGGTGCAGCTGCATCCGCTCCAGTTGCCATTGAAACTAGCCCGGTGTTTACATTGAAGGCTGCCCGCTCTTGGAGCTGCACCATACCAACTATTTACGACATGAATCACCCATGGCCAGGGTCACGCACCATCCGTTTATTTGGGCGCATCGTGGCCCCACAGAACACAAACACTTAACATGACCACGATTGTTGCAGTCTTCTGTTAAGACTCTTCCTTTATTGGTTGCTGCCATATCTCAGGCCATACAACCAGGCTCCCGACTCCCGCAGACGACCTCAGTTGAGATCGACGAGATTGAAAGCCACGCGCCGATATTCAGTACTCGACCACAACCACACAACGTTCATTACAACCACAAAGCACACAAGGCTCTCATTACAGCAATCCTGTTTCTCCCCTCGCGCGGCCGCCGGGCAATGGGATCCACTGCCTGATTCCACTCGCTCAGGCAGTGCCTTTGCCTGGTCAGCCAGCCGCCAGCTGACCACGGCATCCGCCGTCAGCCAGCCCGCGGTGGCACGCGGGGCGGCTCGTGCTCACGGAGCGCCCGGTGCCGTTACAGAACGGCTCCGAGATGCTGATTGGCGCCCCCGGCATCTACAACTGGAAGGGTTCAGTGGTCCGCGTGTCGGGAGTCATCGACGCCGACTTCGGCCCCGATCAGCAGCGGCGTCGGCGTCGGCGCCGGCAGCTCGATCCCTCACTCGAGCTCAGCGAGTTCCACGTGCCCAACCCCTACCATATCAACACCGTCAACGAGAACGACTACTTCGGTGAGATCCGCGAGCACCGCTGGTCGTTCAGACCTAGTCTTCCCATGCTGTCGTCCGTTCCCTGGCAATACAAGACGAGTACATATACCTAGCTGCCTACCGTATTGTACATGCGTCCATTTACAGTGCATCATGCTCTAGCGTAGCATGAGCCGGTCATAGCTTGTACTTGCACCATGCGCTGAGCCCTTGACCATCGGCTGGCGTCCTCGACAGGGTACTCGGTGAGCTCTGGTGAGTTTCTCGGGGACGGGCAGACGTATTACGTCGCTGGAGCGCCACGCGCCGCCTACGGCAAAGGAAAGGTACGACGTTGACGGTACGCTGCACCGGTGTGCATATCTACCTTCGTAGCTCTACGGCACCGGTGTGCATATCTTCCGTCGTAGCTCCACGTGTTCTTGGCCTGCGTAAGCCTTAGCCCATCTTTTTACGCCATCTTACCAGCCAACAGTACATTTCTCTATATGATGATGTTTTGTGATCGATTTTATCACAACATCTGTAGCTATTGCGCCAAATGAATTAAAGTTTTAACCAAGTGATCCCCAGAAACATAATAGGGAAACTAACATCTGCAAACACTACGTGCTGAGCTTCCTGCACTCTGATGCCACTCATTCTCCGCTTCGTGTTATTTTGACATGTTCTCGGCACACTCAGGCTTCGCTCTGCGGCGGAAATATTCGGCAAAGGGTTGACGAGTGCGTGCTTTGCGTCACTCCTTGCCATACCATCGGAACAGCACGGAAATTTACGAGGCGCATATGAGCAAGCCACCCACGTGACCCCCTCCCCCGACCTCCGCCCGCTCCGCCAGGTCTTCGTCTTCGACTTCCCGCTGAACGACTTGGAGGGCATCAGCATCGTGCTGGAGCGGACGGGCGACCAGGTGGGAGAATACTTCGGCGGCGCCGTGCTCGGCCTGGACGTGTCCGGCGACGGGCGGCCGGAGCTGCTGGTGGGCGCGCCGTTGCACTCCACGAGTGCCGGGACGCGCGGCGCCGCACCGGCCGGCCTCGAGGAGGGCCGCGTCTGCGTGTACCCGAACCTGGGCCGCGGCCGGGTCGGCGAGCAGCCGCTCGTGCTGACCGGAGACCGGGCCAGCCGCGGCCGGTTCGGCTCGGCGCTGGCCAGCGTCGGTGACCTCGACCTGGACGGCTACAACGGTGAGCAGGCGAGGCGCTGTCTGGTTCGGGATGTTTGAGATCGTTTGGTGCAGTGTGGACGGAGAACGCGTATCTGGGCCAGTGCGCGACGCAGACACCCGGGTGCAAATGGTGGACATCAGTGTTCATGCACACATGTCGGCGTTTATTTGTTCATTTGAACATGACGTATGGTGATTTCTGGGCACGTCACATAATGATGTGGCTAAATTGCAGTAGCATTAAGGTCGATCCTTTGTTAAGACTGCCCATCGGTGCAGCTTTTATTAGCCTCATTATCATCTCTCAAGCTTACTATACACCATGGACATCCCGCATTTAGCGTGTACCGCTGCACAAGGACATCAGTTATTGTGGAAATTCTCAGTATTGCCACTGAAGCGACTGCTCAGTGCCCACAACACATGACAATTTAAAACAATTCCGCTCAGCAGCTTGCAGCAAGGCTACACAGAGCCTACTCGCTACTCGCCGTCCTTGTCTGCCCGCTTGCCGGCGCTACTGCCTTTGTTCGGTCGCACTTGTGCCTGGGGCTAAGGCACCGGTTTCGGGACTGAAAGATATGACTTCGTTTCCACATTGCGGAAAACTTTGGTCGCTTCTCCACCGGATCGTAGTGTTGTTAGCGTCCTCCGAAGTTAAGCTGGTCCACAAACAAATAATTGGTTGTGTGCCAGTGACTTGCTTGACTGCCCTGCGACCTCGGTCCTGCCGATTCCTTGACCTAGCCTTGTGTGCCAGTGGCTTGCTTGACGGCCCTGCGACCTCGGTCCTGCCGATTCCTTGACCTAGCCTTGTGTGCCAGTGGCTTGCTTGACGGCCCTGCGACCTCGGTCCTGCCGATTCCTTGACCTAGCCTTGTGTGCCAGTGGCTTGCTTGACGGCCCTGCGACCTCGGTCCTGCCGATTCCTTGACCTAGCCTTGTGTGCCAGTGGCTTGCTTGACGGCCCCGCGACCTCGGTCCTGCCGGTTCCTTGACCTAGCCTTGTGTGCCAGTGGTTTGCTTGACTGCCCTGCGACCTCGGTCCTGCCGGTTCCTTGACCTAGCGTTGTGTGCCAGTGGCTTGCTTGACGGCCCCGCGACCTCGGTCCTGCCGGTTCCTTGACCTAGCCTCCGCCTACAGACCTCGCGATCGGCGCGCCGTATGAGGAGGATCAGCGTGGCGCCATCTACATCTACCTGGGCGGCGCCAGCGGACTCAGCCCCACCTACAGCCAGAAGATCGTGGCCTCGGAGCTGAGCGGCGCGCTCCGAGGCTTTGGCGTCAGCATCTCTCACGGACTGGACGTGGATGACAACAGATACTCAGGTTAGTCTGGCGCCACCTAGTTACGCGGGAGACAATGCGCGCAAAGCATTTGTGGTGAGAATGAGTAAATGAATGCATAAGAGAGAATCAGTCCCCATGATTAATATGCTTCTCCTAATCGTTGCACAAGAGATTGCATGAACATGTCCATTCGTTTAATACATCATCGACATATATTTCATTCTATCTTTCATTCCTACGTGTCTGTCGTCACGCGACCACACGGGACGCCTGCAGTTACCTCCCAAGCGCGTGCGTGCTGACTCCCTTGATAATGCGACCGGACTTGTATTGCGAGGAATGCGCTAAAGCCGCACTACCAGCGCAGGCTGGGACAGGCTTCTCTGGCCGACCTGGTGGGGTCAGGGAGTCGAGCTCGCGTTCAGTGACCCCGAGCGGCGGCTCCGAGCCGTTTAAACTGCCGCTGACCGCCGGCCCCCGGTCATCGCCAGACGTGGCGGTCGGCTCGTACCTGAGCGGCGAGGCGGTGCTGCTGCGCGCGCAGCCGGTGTTGCGCTTCCACGCTGACCTCCGGCCCAGCACCGACAAGCTGCAGCCCACCGACAAACAGTTCCAGGTCCGCGCCTGTCTCAAGTACTTCGGCCGCTACCTGCCCGACCGCATCAGTGAGTGACGCGATGGCCTGCTAGCCTTCTGCTGGTGCTGCCACTGTGGGCAGAAGGGGGGGGGGGGGCGCTTCTAACACGTTCTGACACTCATCGAAGTCCTTGATGGATGGTCGCACTCCCCCGCGTCAGCGCTCTGTTTATGGTTTTACTTGGAGCAAATGGGTTGTCGTGCTGCTGTAAATTCGCCCGTCCTACGAACTGGATGGATGGTCTAGGTCCGCTCTCCAATGCGTATGCGATCTGTCTGCAATTCTATTCGTAGCACAAGGACGATGTCTAATCATGCTGCGGTGTCTCGTTACATTAAGAAGCAATCTGACGACTTCCTGATTGCAGCCGCCCAGGTTCAGATGAAGATCGAGTCGCTGCACGTAGTGTGCGCCTTCGACCTGTCGGGCGGGTCACGCGATAACTTCACCTACACACGCTCGTTGACCTACGACGGCTACAGCTGCGACGACTTCACCGTACTGATAAAGGCAAGCCATTTGGCCAGCGACTGACGAATAATTGATACGCACGAGCGGGACTCTTCATCAACCTGCAATTAAAATGCGCCGTTAGTCTTCGAGTCGGGACACAAATGCCGGTTATTACCGTTGTTAAGGTGTGTCTGTTCTTTACGGCGGCGGAATTTCATTAAGCTGCGTCATGCTCTGGGAGTTACGTTCAGCCCGGGGAGAGATACGTATCAGACCGTGCTGCCCCGTGTGCTGCGCCTTTGCAAACCCCGCACGGGTGACCGACCCCTGCTTGAAGAGGCGCCTTGGGCAGACAGCAACAAATGCAATACGAATTGCTAATGGTCATGCACCGCAGAGCACGCGTGCAATGTTCAAGATGAAAGTGCTCGCCGAAGTGCTGTGGTGTGCCGTTCATTGCCTGTGTGTAAGGATGCAGCCGATATGCATATCTGCTCGAGCAGTTACACGCTTTGGCGTTGTTTCAAGTAAGCGTGCGATATACTATTTATGTTTTTATTTATCCAGGCACCCACGCGCCATGACGACTCACCGCACCCACTTGCAGTTGTGGATGCGGCGATTTCATTGGCCGCGAGGTGTCTGCGCGAGGCTCGAGGAATGCTTTTGATGATGATGTGATGATGCTCTAGAGATCAAGTTTTTTGTTCCTGCAGTAACCCGTCTTTACTTGTCCCGGGTTCGCCATGGTAAAAATGCTCCGACTTGCGCATGCATCGAAACCACCGAACCGAACGACTGTTGTGACCTTTGCAGTCGGAGATCCACGACTACACCCAGCCGATCCAGCTGAGCATGAGTTACAACCTGTCGTCGGACGACAGCGCCGTGGCCGGCCACACCCACCCGACGCAACCCGTTTTCATCACCACAGACGTGTCGAAGCGGGCCGAGCGGCGCGGCCGCCGACAGCGTGAGTTGACCCCGCCGGCCGGGGTCGGGGTGCACACCCAGTTAGTGTTGGCCAGGAGACCGACCACGGCACGGAGAGCTGGGGCAGCAGGTTGTCGGTCCGTTGGAACATAGGAGTGTGCTCTCTACCTGAGACTCTACCCCTAAAACGTATTTTTGTTTACAGCAAAGGCTAATGCCAAAAAACCGTAAAAAGTGGCTTTTCCTAGAAAGTTTCCTCACCCGTTCTTCATAGATTCTCGCTTCTAGCTCCCTGTACTGCCAACACGTTCTTCATCTTGGAATTTTTGCCTGCCTGCCGCCCGCCCGCAAACGGAGCCGCCTCTGTTCCAGTCTCGCCGTTCCTGGACGGGGACCTGACCGAGTTCTGCGCCACCTGCCCCGTGGTGAACGCGCGCGCCGCCGGCCAGACCCAGGTGACCGCCAGCGTGCCCTTCTCGATCGGCTGCGGCGCCGACGCCGTCTGCCAGTCGGACCTGTCCGTCAGCGCATCGGTGCCCGGCCTGAAGGACGGTCGGTTCGTCATCGGCGCCTCGCCCACCATCGACCTGGACGTGGACGTGACGAACGTCGGCGAGCCGGCCTCGCTGCCCAGTGTGCAGGTCCGTATGGCGAGTGGGGCGGTGGGCCATCTCAGCTCTGGACACGCGTGTGAGACCATCTTGTGGAGGATCGTGTCAGCTGTCGGTATTGTATGTGCGTTGCCAAGTGTCGGCCCATTCATCATTGTTGCATTTTCTTCCGTTGCGCCAAAGCAAGTAGCAGGGACGAAGTTGATGGGAAGTGGACTCTCGATATCATGTCCCAGAGAGACTTTTTCTGAAGCCTTGCAGCGCTACATAGTTAATAGTGGTTCATTAACGAGCTTAACGAGCTGTTCGGTGCTGTCTCCCGTGCAGCACCCCTCCCCTTGCTCAGCCCGGGCGCGCCCTTGCAGGTGACGCTGCCGCGGCCCATCCGGCTGGTGCGCGTGCCGCAGCTCTGCTCGGAGCGCGAGAAGGCTGACCACGTGCTGCTGACGTGCCACGTGCGGCCGCACCCGTTCCCGGCGGGCGCCGACGGCCGGCTGCGGCTGTCGCTGGACGTGGACGAGCTGGCGCCTGGCACTGAGAGCGTCACCGTCGGCCTCAACGCCAGCTCGTCCGGCGAGGAGGTCGCGCCTGACGACAACGTGTTCAACTTCACGCTCGGCCTGCGCACCGAGGCCGACATCGCCGTCACGGGGTGGGTTGCGGTCGCGGACCGACCACAGGCGCCTGGGCATTGTCCCGCGTGAAGGCGTGGGGTCAGGGGGAGGAAGCGGGTCGACGCGTCTGCGTACTTTTCGTGGCCCGTGTGTGTCATGCAAGATCAACATTGAGCGTATGGCAATGCATGGAAATTGCTGGCTAAGACGAAACTGTAGCAGCCCGCACCTTTCGATGTGGTTGTACGTTCCCGCTGGTGCGGATCATCGGGTTTGCTATGTTATCAGTATGTGAGACAAGGCTGACTGAGGCAAGACAGGGCTCAGTGTGGCTTGACCGAGTCCGTCTAGTCCAGTCAGGGAAGACTGGTAGTTGTCTGCCGCAGCTCTGATGGACATCTTGAATTTCTCTGTCCCGCCAATCCCAGCGTCTCACATCGACGTGAAACCAGCTCCCTGGGAGCTGTTTTCACCTCTGAATTGTTGTCCGAATCCTGTCACACGCTGACCAGGACGAACAGCTACCCATCGTCTACGATGTGAGCGCTCACCCTGTCCCTCCCCACCAACAGTCAGCCGATGGAGGAGCCGCCGCTCTACTACGACAAAAAAGAGGACCGCGACGAGTCGGAGCGCAACGACCCCAATTACGTCATCATCAGCCACCGGTACCAGGTGATCCGCTACCTGCCGTCGCCGGTGGACGCCGTCAACGTCAGCTTCCTGGTGCCGGTGAACGTGACGACAGCGGACGGCTCGCAGCTCCGCTTCCTCGACCTGTACCGGCCCAAGGCGACGCTGGACGGCCGCCAGCTGGCGTGCAGCATCGAGACCGGCTACTACCTGGCGTCGGTAAGCGCGACGACGGGGAGCCGACGCAGTGCGGGGTGGTGTGGGAGAAGGCTTGCGCGCCTCCGTAGGAAGGGGGCTCGTGTCAATAGGATGACTGGAGTGCTTTTACTCGTGTTAGGGGTCATTCAGCTCAGGCGTCTCACCTTGCCTGTCCCGGTAAGGTTTTGTTGTCCTAGGAGATTGCAAGACGCATGGACCTGGTACAGTGCCTCCAAATGACGCCACTTGGCCTTTCGAGCGGTGCTGACTGAGTCGCGGTCACGTGTCACCTGGCCTTTCGAGCGGTGCTGACTGAGTCGCAGTCACGTGTCGGCTGGCGACCATTGCAGTGCGTCGTGACGGCCTGCACTCAGTACGTGTCTGTTTTAACCTGAGTTAGTATGTGTGAACATGCCCGGGTCCATCACATACAGACACCACTGGCATGACCGCTCCATCGAGAACGCGCGTCTGACCGGCCCTCCGGCCGCAGGACGGCAGCAGCTACGTGGAGGCTCCGCGCACCTGGCGGCGGCGCTACCAGCTGACGGACGAGCAGCGCCACCTGCTGGCCGACACCGAGTACCACTACGAGGGCAACGTCACCACCGTGCTCAACTGCACGCAGCCGTTCGTCTCGTGCGTGCGGCTCGAGTGCCCGACGGTGGCCTTCCCCCGGCGGCAGACGAGCCTGGTGGTGACGCTCTCCATGCGGGTTAAGATCCACGAGCTCGGTGAGCGGAGCGCCGCACGCGCGGCGGCGACTTGGATGAACCTATGTGGAGGGGAGGGATGCCTGTCGCATGCTGCTCCCGTGGAAACCGACCGATTTCTGGATTTATGAATGGGCAATTCATCTTACGTGACATTGAGGATGAGCGTGGATCATTGAGGATGACGTTGAGGAATGAGTAGCGTGACAGTATAGCCTGTTCTGGCTTGCGGCTGCCTCGCGTCCGGTATACGGTGCCTCGCTGACTCATCATCTGCCCGAAACGCCGCAGCAGTTATAACAGCACGCCCCTAGACCGGAGTGCGGTCACAAAGCTAGTTTACTTTTCCTCACCTAATCCAGATGCAGGGGCGTTGTCTCCTAATTCAGTTGTAGAGGCGGGGGGGGGGGGAGGGAGGGGTGGCTGGCTTCGCCTCCTGAAGTTTGAGGAGGACGCTCTTCAAATCCAGAGAAAAAAACATAGTTTTTGCTCATTGAGGGGTAGGTATAACCACTTTTCCTGATCAGCTCTGCGACTTATTTTGCGAAAGAATAGCCCATGTCCAGATGCCGTGCCATACATCGGTGATCTGGGGAATCCTTGAACTCTTCCCCAGTAACACCCACCATGTGACCCGCTCCTCGAACCTTGCCGGGGCTCGCACAGACCAGCCCGTGACGGCCGCTGACCTGCCGGCAGAGCCGTACGTGGGCCCGCGCAACAGGTTGGTGATCTCGACGGTGGGCCTAGCGGACGTGGGCGCCGTGCCATACCAACTGCAGCCGGCCGACGACAGGCCCGACCTGCACCAGGTGCACACGGTGCTGCTTCCCTCCTCGCTGCAGCCGTTCCCCGTCTGGGTGATCGTGGTGGCCGTACTCGGCGCCCTTCTGCTGCTCGCCGCCATCACCTTCGGCCTCTATAAGGTCAGTGGCCGGCGGACGGCGGTGGTGGGGTGTCAGGAAAGGAGAAGTTCGTCAGCAGCGTGGGTGACGGGGATAGTTTAGATCCGGGGTGGTGGAAACCAGGGTATAAAGTTCCCTGTTCTGTTAAGCGAGGGGGAGGGGCATTTCGAAAAGTTAGCCAAATTCGCAAACATCTCTGTTTTAGCGCATTGTGCGGGTCGGTTTTGTCATTTTTCCTTGTTCAGCCACCCAACTTATGTCGCGAAGCCCTTGTAGAAACCGTGCGAAATGCCCGCTGGAGCTGGGAGGTGTGTGGTGATGGGTGACAGAAAAGCTGGACGGTGAATGCACTTTTGACGAAACCATGCCATCTTACATCACAATTCAGTATTGTAGCGTGTCTCGCTGAAGCTTGCATCACTAGCGTGACAGCGAGTGCAGCACCATCCCTCCGGTGCGCCTGCCACGCGTCCTAACCCATTTCTGTTGCGGCCAGGCCGGGTTCTTCAAGCGACGACGACCGGAGGGCGTGTAGCGACGTGCGGCGCGACAGTGGTGCCCTCGCTCTGAAGGGCCGCCTCCTGCCTGATCTCGCAGCACGCGGCGCCGCCGGCCGCCGCGCCGGGCCCGCGCCCGGACTGTGCCATGGAGAGGCCGCGGCGCGGCGTGGCGCGCTTTCTAGTCAGGGACTGCGGCGGCGCGGGCCGCGGCCGGCCGACCGCGTGCGCCGGGAGCGACGGAGAGCGCAGATACAAGCTGTGAACCCGTCCGAGACGCGACGGCCGCCCCAATCCCGGTCTGCTCGCGGCGGCGTGACGTGACGTGACGTGACGTGACGTGACGCCCATAGAGCCATGTGATGAACGGTGCTACCAACACTGGTGCAACGCGGGCCATCTACTGGGGTGGTTGTCGGTGTGAAATGTGTCCCATGCGACTTTGGGAACTGTTAGATGTAGGCATTACTAATTTTATACGAATAGTGCCTATGCGATAAGTGTTGCCTACGGATGTTGGTCGTGCAAGGACGATAATAACATGGTGTGGATATGCTGACCAGTGAGTGAATCGCTTGAAGTTGGAATATATGGTTGACTGAATGTTAAGCCTAGTGTCTTTCTTCCTCAAAGTACACCTTGCGAATCAAGAAAGGCACCTAAAGTGTGCGCACGTGGAGGTCTTTGTAGTTAATGGGTGGCATCCGTACATTTGTACCATTCTGTCCTCTCAAGATATAATGACGTGACGTCACCAGACCCACAGTTTCAACAACAAAATCAAATCGGCTGTCTATGAGATCAGGGACGGTTGCGATTAGGCATGTGTTTTGATCCCAAAAGCGAAGGCAGTATCCCATAGGATTCCATGGTGATGGATCCGGGGATCCTGAAATATTTTTGTTAGGGCGCTCCTGACACATGTCTGGCTGCAATATCATAAAATGGCTGCACATTCTAATCCCAATTCACTCCTCAGCTGCCCCCCCCCCCCCTCCCATAGCTCAGCCGACTGCAAGACTGGACGCCTGGCCACCGTGTGACATAGGGTAGCCACTGGTTGAATATTCGAGTTCGGTCCAATCCAAATAGGCCTTCCAGAGTCAAATCCCGTGACCGATACTGACTGCAAATCGCTTAATTTGATCAGATTCGGTCTGGCTTAGCTAAAGCATGCTGACAAAGTCCGTGTTGGTCCAAGGTAAGATCTTTACTTTGGTGATCATAAATAGACAAATATGGAACATTTTTAGATGTTTTTATCAATGCGATGTTGGTAATCACAAAAAGAGCAAGCATGTCTGATGGATCTGATGGAACGAGGAACCCTTGCCGCATTGGTAAAAACACATTATAACGCTAGTACACCTGTCGCAAGATTCGGATTTATGAGACCTCCTGTATACTGCTCTGACATCCATGTGCATACTCTGCCGCCATAACATGTGAACCACTAACCTAAAGACAGGAGTCAAACATCGGATGCCGGGGACCAAACCAAAGCCCGGGAACTTAGCTTGCATATGCCTCAATACCCGCCCACCCACACACAGACACCCACGCCCACACGCACACCCACACACGTTTGGATTTGGAGGATATCATTTTGGTGTCACGACATATATATATATATATATATATATATATATATATACCTCTTACACATATACGAGATATCTACGGATGTATACATGTATATAGACGTGTATACATAGATCACAGAAATTGCCGCGTTGGTATTGGATGCTTTTCATCCGTTCCCATTTGCGAAAGCCCCTTCACCCTTGGCAGAAGCCTCAGCAAGGTATGGTGTGAAACGGAGACCGAACCTCGCCCACTTTAGTTCGGACCTGTGACAAATGGAGTGTCCGTCATGTCAATGACATGCGCAACGTAGAAAACATTTGCATTGACATTGACATTGATGACGTGAAAACTGAGGGCCACGACCAGCCCAGAAGGCCTCCTGACATTTGGAGTCTTGTCTCTGTCCCTGTTCTGCATATGTTCCCCTGGCTGACTCGGGTCCTTTGCCGACACACGATTGTTAGGAACTGTAGGCCTCTCATTTTTGCACATGCAAGGCCCACATTCTTTCAGGGGTCCTAACGGATGTAAATCACAGGTTCGACCTTGTTCCTCGTGGGAAATGGGCCCAGAACTCAGACCGACACGGAGCCGACTGTTCGGTGCCGGTGGTATCTGACCGAAATGGGGGCCCAGATTGTCCAAGGACGCCCTCTAATCGGTGCAACATGCGTTCTGACTGACATTTGCGGGCCCTGGCCTGCGGGTCAGGGTCATTAATGACACCTACAGCCAACCCTTTGGGTCCTCCAATTGGCATTTAATAGGCGGTCGCGAAGGGCCACCCCCCTGCAAACTCCCTCAAACATTGTCAAGGGCCGACTCTGGGGTCCTTGCCAATGCACAACCCTTGTTAGGCACCGGGGGCCCCTGACCGACACCGAGGGTCTTTATTGATTGAGGAGTCCGACCAATGGCACACTCCCATTAAATTGAGTGTTCCACATTTGTGTGGATTTTGAACTAAAATAGCCATTGGGTGCATCCACATTCGGGAGACCGTGCGGTTTAGCTTACAGCACTACCCTTCTTAAGACCTGAAACCCTCTAGTTTCTGAGCAACGCGCATGCGAAGATGGCAGACTATTTCGCGGAGACTATTGCAAGGTAATCCAGGCATCCATGACACCAAAATGACGTCTTCCAAATCCTGCCATTCCATTAGCTATGCAGCCATCAAGGCCAATAAAAATACAACCGTCAAGTCGTTTATGTCTGACGTTCGTGAGCACGACTTCCAGATATAACGGCCGTCAATTGGCCCTTGATCTATATTATGCAAGGATGACGTAATCAAGCAATGACGCATTGAAGAGCACATTCACCAAACAAACTATGCTGTCTAGAGCAGTCCCTTTGACATAAACGTGCACCAATAGATCTGATGCTTGTTTCAAGATCATAGAGTTCAACATTCACTGTCCTGTCCTCCGCGCTTCCTGTCCTCCGTGCTTTTGGGCCTCTGTCATTTTTTTGCTTGCTGTTTCTGTTATCTTCCTCACAGCAGGTCTTCATTTTTTGTTGCAGTCTCTTAGCTTTCCCCTTCCTACGTGCTCTCCCGCAACTGTGTCTTGTACGATGAACTCGTTGAAATGACCGCTCATTTTCGCTTAAACGTTTATCCTTTTTTGCTGGCGTGCTTCCGGCACGGGAAGTATATCAGCAGGGCTGAACGTCATCGGTAGCACTACAGCAGCTGGGCGAGGTGGAGAAGCAGGTGCAGCAGTCGCCCAAGCGACCGCCGCTGACGAGGATGGCTTAACCATCCCAGCAGTGGACGCCCCCACTGTTGTTGGCTCCTCCACTGCCGTGGCCATTCAAGCGTCCCATGATGCTTCTGTCATCCCAGAAGCTGCAGAGGTCTCTACGTTTCTAGACGCGAAGACGTCCGCAGCTGCCGAGGTTACAATCTTGATCTGCTTTTTCCCGATTGCGGTCAGGAGCTTGCTTGATTTTGCACGCACAGTTGTTATTCTCGTTTCATTAATATTGTATAGTCTGTGCGGATCAACGATGCCATCACGTACCTGTTCCAGCAGATTGAAGAATTTGACAGCGATAGCCTTGATAAATCCACGGGCACGTGCCACAGACGTGGCTTCTGGCGCACGCAACGATAGGTTTTTTCTTGTTCCTCTTCATAAAGCTGCCCAACCAATCCTTCCCGGTCACGCCCGCTTTGACCGTGGGGTATGTCATTCTTTTCGGCATGCTGGTACGCCGAGCTGTGCACATTTGAGGGCGTTAGGCCGCAGAACATGCTCTCTAGAAGTAGCATGTGATCTTCTAAACCACTTTTTGCAATGGTGTACACACTTTTTTGGCTCCACATCCACTTGAGGGACACTTAACATAAAGGTGACGTTGAACTGACGTCCTACGTACTCCGTGCAAAGCAGCTTCCTAAATCACGCTGCTCCCCCTTTGACGGATGTGACAGCCGCTTGTATCCCTTCCCCGCTCCATCCTCCTCGAGTCGTCTTTCTCTTGACCATGATGTGTGCATGCAGGGAAAAGCAAAGGGCTCGGTAAGGTGATGCGATGAGGATAAAATAATATTTACATTTTTGTATCTATATTCATATAAATATTCTTACATATGTATACACCAAATTTACACATTTTTCAGATATTTATGCTCATATCTAATATGCATCTGAACACTTTACAGCTTTGCGAGGGTGTGGCCTTGCCTAGTTTACATGGCTGATGAATCGCATTTTGTCAGTCAGGTCGCGCGGCTTTTTTTTGCAATTCACATTTCGATGGCTACTGCCCACTGTCGCGGTGGTACCACCGGGCGCGGCGGACGGGTTGCCGCGGTGACGGCGCCGCTTCGACCGGGCCGGCGGACGGTCAGCAGGGGTCAGACGGCGGGCGGCTCGCTCCAGCAGCGCGGCGGCGACGCTCATCCGACGGCGACCATCGGCCGCCGGCTGCCAGCGCGGTCACCAGCGAGCCGAGCGGACTGCGCCCAAAGGCGGACGGCGCCACTCACCATGCTGCCCCTGGTGCTGGCGCTGCTGCTTCAGGCGAGCTGGCTGACGGCTCTAGAAGGTAAGCAGGGGCGGGGACGGGGCCGCGGAAGGGTCGGACGCACTGCTCTCTGAGGCCAGCTAACGTGCGTGACGCGCTTCAGGACAGCGGGCTGGGACTAGCATTGAGCGACAGGCACATGAGGGCTGATGTCCGGAGAGGCAAAAAAATGTGGTGGGTTGTGCAGGAGTCGATAGTATTGGTATAACGTAGATCATTCAGCCCCACAACCGCCACTAAGTCCTCGATAAAAAGGGACAGTGAGAATGCTCCGAAATGAAATCGAACAGGATGCTCGGTTTTGCCCACACAACTAGAAGAAGCAGTACACCGCTATCAAGCATGACACCCGTGACTGTTAATCCATCTTCCACAAGCGCAGGGTGGATGACATCCACTTCATATGTAGAAATAGCAACACGCCTATCAAGATTTCACCATCCGAGTGATAAGCTCAACAAATGTTCCACGCTGTGATGCTGCCCTCCTGCAACGCACGCGACCAGGGCGTGTGATCTCCCGACGCTGTCATTCCCCGCCGGCAGCGCCGCTCGCCCAGGCACCGGTCGGCTCCAATCTGCCGCAGTACCCGTCCTTCCTCCGTCTGGCGGCGCGCATCCGGAGCGGCATGTTCAGCCGCTCCCCGACGCCGGAGCAGCTCGGCCTGCGCGTGCGGAACGGCTCGCTCTGGGTGCGCGGCACCTGGCACCAGCTGGACGGCGACGGGCGCGCCAACATCAGCGGCCAGCGCTTCCAGGTGGCCGGCCGCGCCGTCTCCGTGGACGGCGTGTGGTACTGGCCGAGCAACACCTCAACGGTGCCGCCGCGCCGCAAGCCGGCGCACGAGCCGCTGACGCCATACGACGGCCGCGGCGTCCGGCATACCAACCTGCAGGCCATGCTCGCCATCACCGTGCCGGCTGCCGCCAGTTAGTGCGTGTGCATGGCCGCCGCACGGGCCCTACGTCACGCGTGCATTGTACAAC